TCGGACCAGGTCCCAGGCAGTTGGACCAGGTCCAAGGCCGTGAGATTTTCAGATCGGTCGGCAGGGAGCCTTGTATACTTGAAAGTTGAAACCACAACTAAACCTCCTCAAGTGGGTGGCCCCTGCGCTGCCACTGCTCTTCCCCTACGCCTGTTTATGCCCCGCCCTGTCCGTATATGGGACATTTATGTCGGTGTGTGGTTGGGCACATAAAGAGCCTACATAGTTGCACCACTCGGCATCTGCGAAGATTTTGAATGCATCTGGACAAGCAGTTTGTCCAGATGCATTCGGAATGTTGGCAGATGGCGAGGGGTGCAAATGGGCCCTTAGCCGTGTGTTGAGTTCCTTATCCAGTTTTAAGAAATGATGACCATCAGTCTGGACTCACGTCTCACTCAGGTACACTTTTTCTTTCTTTTTGTCATCTCCTTGCAATGGGGGCCATGCTAACCTATCCTTTTAATAACAACAAGGGCCGTGGCCGCCGTGCAGCCAAGCCCCATAGCAGCATTGCGTTTCCTCAATACCCGAATCTGGACGTGTTTCTGGAGAGATGTGCGGTTGTGTGTGTGTGTGTGTGTGTGTGTGTGTGTGTGTGTGTGAGAGAGAGAGAGAGAGAGAGGGCAGTCTGCTCAGACTGACACACTCTTCTCACCATTTTTATTTTTTTTTTTCTGGCCCTTACCAATTTCGGAACTGGTATTCATTCCTGACCACCCATTGCACGGCAACAACATTAGGAGAATTTAGGACCGTTAGATCGCTTTGCTATCTGCGGCTGAACATAGTGCATAGTGTCACACACACAAACGGTCCTCAGTCCTATACTTTCCTGACCGCTACTGGGACTTGGCCCATGGTAATAGTGTTGAAATACAGACCCACGTTCGAATCCAGGATGAGATCAGATTAACTCTGAAGTACCTGGGCCCGGTCACCTCAATGACAAAATCTGAAGGCCGCTGCCCTTTCAAAAAAAAGAATAATTATATTATAATTATAATAAATAATAATACCCCCCCCCTTGGTGTTTTTTTTTTTTTTTTTTTTTTTTTTTTTTTTTTAAAAGCGACGGCCTCGAGATACTGTCTCTTATACACATCTAGATGTGTATAAGAGACAGCACTCCATCTGGAGTCTGGACGCTATTTTGACTA